AGTCTTTTTGATTCTAGCCATTCTGACTGGTGTGAGGTGGTATCTCATTATAATTTTAATTTGCATTTCCCTGATGATGTGTGACATTGAGCGCCTTTTCATGCGTTTGCTGGCTATCTGTATGTCTTTGGAAAATGTCTCTTCAGGTCCTCTGCTCATTTTTAATTAGGTTATTTATTTTTTGGTCTCACATTTAGGTCTTTAATCCATTTTGAGTTTATGTCTGGGTATGCTGTGAGAAAGTGGTTGCCCACTTTCATTTTTTTGCAGGTAGCTGTCCAATTTTACCATTTATACCTATACTATGTATATTCTCGCTCCTTAGCTATAGATTGACCATACAAGTGTGGGTTTATTTCTGGACTCTCTATTCTGTTCTATTGATCTATGTGTCTATTTCTGCACCAGTACCATACTGCTTTGATTATTACAGCTTTGTAGTATAAGCAGATTGACCATCTTTTCTTCTAAGTCCTTATATGCAAGCACAGTATACATTGGAGCCACTAGAAACAGTGCCGAGGTGATAGATTGGTTACTAAATCATATGAGCGACTAAATTCTATGGATTTCTGATCATTAGAAAGAGAAATGGCTAAACATGAATTCCAAATCTAGAATAGTACCTGGTATTAAAGGTGCTCAATAAATATCTATTGGTGAGGTTAATATAAGTGGGGAAACTAATGCAAATAAGTTAAGTGACGTGCCTAAGGTCACACAGCTGTTGGTATTTGAGCCAAAATTCTAACCCCAAAAAGGCAAAATGCAAAAGTGATTAGGAAACAAAAATGCTTGAGACTACTTCATGAGTAGCGCCTCCAAGTGCATAGGGGTGGGAGCCTGCTGCCTCCAGGGCAATGGGGAGGTGGGACAAGGTGTGAGACACACCCTAAACAGCATCTATTGAAAATGCCTTGGGACGCCTTCACTTCACCCAATGCCTTGGGTGGCTCAATCAGTTAAGCTGCTGATTTCGGCTCAGATCATGATCTCACGGTTTGTGAGTTCAAGCCACTTGTCCGGCTCTGTGCAGACAGCTCAGAGCCCTGAGCCTGCTGCAGATTCTGTGTCTCCCTTTCTCTCTGCCCCTCCCCTGCTCACACTCTGTCTCTCTCTCTCTCAAAAATAAATATTTTTTAAAAATTAAAAAATATTGGAAATGCCTAGGTCTTGTGGGTTCTTTTAAAAGCTATGTTTGAAAAGCTTCATTGCAAAAACATATGTCATGGTGGGTTTGTGGGAAAGTCAGATGCACCAAAGACTGACTCAAATGTCAAAGTCGTTGTTTTTGTCACCCACTGCTTCCTTTGAGTGTCTAGCAGATGTTGGGGAGGGCTGTGCAGCTGGATGCCTCGAGAGCCTTCCATCCTCAGGGTCTCACGAGAGGCAACCTTTGGTGCACAGCCTCTGAGTCTGGGATATGTTCGCTGCCCGGGCCTTGGGACAACAGGAAGAGGTCAACCTCAGCCCAGCAAGTGAAGAGCCCTGAGTTCCGGACCAGTCTGTCAATCTACAAACGAGGCTCTCGCACCTCTAAGCCTTGTTTGCAAACCCGCTGCATACTGCATACCAACCCCAAACCTTACACGGCCCTCGAATCGCATGACTTACATAATGTGGTGATCCTCCTGCTACGCTCCTTACTTCACAGACGTGGACCCGAGCTCCGAGAGGTGAGAGGATTTTGCCGAGACCGCAGCCAGCGCAAGGAAGAGTGGGGGAGAAAACCCGTCTTGTCTCCTGGCATGTTGCAACTACCTGGACAGGAAAAAAACCAGCAATTATTTCTGTCCAATTCTGTCTCTACATTCTTGAGCACCAATTCATGCAAAGCACCATGGACGGCAAAGACACACCCATGGCCACGCACAGTTCCTTAAGGAGCCCCTCAGTAGGTGGGATGTCCCTACTGTCTTCGCATTCTCTCAAATCCACCAGCTTTTCCTGTTTCTTGAAGTCAAAATGCTGACCCACTGTTGTGTTGGGATGGCTGGTGGGGAAAAGGGGAAGAATAGAAACCTTTATCTCGAGACTACTATATGCCAGGCATTCTATACATTCTCCTATTTGGCTCTCAAGTCACCCTCTAAGATAAGTATTAGTACTTCCATTTCCAAATGATTAAAAATGTTGACGGGCTCAGGAAGTTGCTGAGCTTGGATTTGAATTCAGGTCCTTCCACCAGACCGCACTGTCATTCTTTAGCCTTCTCTTCTTCCCTGAGCTGTCCTCTGGTCTCCGCAGGTGCTCATGCATCTTTAGAACCTTTGACAAGCAAGTTCCCCTCCCCTACAACATAATATCAAAATCCCACCTTGTCCTTCTAGGGAGCCTGAATTCTCAGCTGAAGGTCTTCCTTCTCACTTCTCAATCCCCACATGTCAGTCCACCCCCACGCTTCCATGCCCCTCCTGTTTTTATGAAGTCTTCTTTTCTGAGAAGCACGCTCCCAACCTTTAGCTATTCTCCCCTCCCTAAAGGCACTCTATTCCAGGCGCTGAAGCTTCCCAGACTTCACTGTCCCCCTCTCCTCATCCTCACCTCCAGAGAGGCAGCCTAGGTATTGTCAACTCCTATTGACAGAAGAGGACACGGAAGCCCAACAAGGCTGTCTTTCCATGAGGATTGCCCAGCCCAGCCCACACCTCCACCCTTCACGGTTCCTGCTCACAGGCCTCACTGCACCACACTGTGTGTGGGGTTCCCATGTCATGTTACACGTGACATTCATGCTCTTTTCCTGGGGATTTCTCCGTCATTCCAGCTCATTGCTGGGGTTGTTCCTTTTCATTCACAGCTAATCCTATTTTCTCTTATTCTAGCTGCTAAGTGTAGCCCAATATTTCCAAATTACACCTGAGAACATCCTCTGCCCACAATGTCCTTTTGTCTTCCCGGTGAACTCTTCCTTCCAAAGTCGGTGCTGACAATAGCCCATTTGTGAAAGCCTTCCCTGGCACAGGGCATCCCTCCTTCCTCAAGGTGCCTGTAGCCTGTCTATTGTAACACAACACCCCAAGTCACTGGAAATGTCTCCTATTTCCTAGACTCACACATCTTCACTACAGGGACACTTTTGTTTTGTTTTGCTTTGTCAATTTTGCAATCTGGAATCTCTAGCCTAGAGGCTGAGGTACAGGGAATCTTCAGTAACTATTTCCTGAGTATTGTTTGTCTATATAGACCCAATGGGGTAGAACTAGAACCAAACAGTGGAAGGTTCTGCTCCACTAGACTCCGAGTTCCTCAAAGGCAGGGAGACAACTTCTTCCGTCAGTGGATTGCCACTGTGCCAACAGTCAAGGTGCTACAAATGCAGAATGAGTCACCGGGCCATGGTCAGTTCCCCCTTCCAGGAGATGTCTAAGCACTGGATAAAAAAAAAATGATGCCGTGGCAGAGATTTGGGGCAGGCGGCTGCACGAGGTGTTCCTGAGCTCCCATGTAGCCCCAAAGACCGTGTGGTTGCAGGGTGAGCAAGAGGTTGGTTCATAGGTCAAAAGACGGACAGGAAAAGTGGAGACAGATGAATGGAAGTGAAAGAGGCACAAAGGTGGAAAATAAAGGGCCTGTGAGGAAAAGAAGGCTGCACAGTGGCAAAAGGGAAGAGATTGGAAAGACTGGCTGGAAGAACAGTGTGAGAGAGTGGGGCTCATTAGCCACAGGGAAGTGCTCGCAGTCTGGCACGGCCAGCTGCACAGCACTCCTGCTAGCCCAGAGGCAGAAGTTGCACAGCATATGAAAGCTGACATGCTGAAAGCCACCATGACTAGAAATCAGTCAGAGATGGACTTCATGCCCATTCCACCCAAACAGGAACCTGAGTCCTAGAAAATCAGTTGCAATTGACAAACACCAAGCCACACAGGAACACAGGGAAAGACCTTACTGCCCGGTGCCACCCAGCTCCTCTTGACATGCTGCAGTCTGGCCAGGCCTGAGTCGACCCACCAGGAGCACCAAGCCTCATCCAACAGAACTTGCAGAGGGCAGCCCACCCCCAACTCTTGTGCCCACTGGCTCTGGAACCCATCCTTTTCCTAAAACTTATGCATTACAGGCGGTGACATGGTAGGCGGAGCTCTGCAACCAGTCTGCCTTCCAGACAGGAAATGACAGGAGACCTGTACTCATGTTGTGACTATGGCTGCAGACCCTGCTCTACCTTCATTCCCTGCTTCTTACCAACGCACGGCTACCTGGTGCGCTCAGGAATGTTTACGAAGTATCTGTGTATTCGTGTTTACAGGGCACCCAGTATATCCAGACGCTGAGGCAAATCTTTACATGGTGCCTCAGTGCTGACTCCTTCAACTAAGCCAATAAATACCGTCACGTCATGGGCAGATAAGGAAACTAAAGCTCAGAAAGGTTAAATAATCCCTCAAAATTACACACACAACTATTAAGTGGCAGAGCACAGATTTAAAGTTTATTTATTTGTTTGATTGTTTATTTATTTCGAGAGGGCGGGGAGACGGTACAGAGAAGGGAGAGAGAGAATCCCAAGCAGGCTCCACACTGTCAGTGCAGAGCTGGATATGGGACTCAAACTCAGACACAGTGAGATCATGCCCTGAGCCTAAGTCCGATGCTTAACCAACTGAGGCACCCAGCACACACACACACACACACACACACACACACACACACACACACCCCGCCCCCCGGCCCCTGCCCAGGTCTAGATATAAAGCAGTTCCAGGGTCATGACCCAGGGCCATCCAGGAATGGAGCCTTGTTCACCTATCCCGGAATCCCTGGGCACATGTCTCCTCCTCTTCCACTCAGGTCCTCCCTGGGTCATGCCTGGGCATCTGTGCCTGAGCCCCGAGGCAGCCCGCGGACAGGCGCCCTGCCTGCCTACCCAGGCACCTCCCAGCTGTCCCCTGTCCGGGCGTCTCACTGCTGTGGAGGCAGCCCGCCTGCCCTTTTATTGCCAGCTTCAGAAACCCGCCCTCCTCACCACTACAGAGGGTAACCTTTGCATCTTGCTGTCCACATCTCTTCTGTTCTTCCCCTGACGGAGCTGGTTTGAAAAGACACTGAGACCTGAATGCATCCCCAGACAGCGACTGCCACATGGCTGCATTGGCTCCTTCTTCACTGTAATGTAACCCAGGAGCGCCCTCCATCCTACACTGCACTCACGCTTGCACCTGTCACCTATCAGCCCTGCGCCTGGCGCTCCTCGGGCTCAGATCTCCTAGGTGGGGGTGGGGGGTGGATTTCGGCTGAGGGAACAAAAGCTCCTGCATCTTGCTGCTCTGAATTAACTCACCTCCCAGCTCTGCACCTTCCTCATTGCAGCAAGGTGAGTGCTCCTCCCACCCCTGCAGCTGGCCACCTGCGCATGCGTGTGGGTAACCTCCTGCCTGGAAGCTCAGGTTCACCTCCACCACCACCACTCAGGGAAGCGGGGAGCCCAGCCGGGGAGGACAGGCGCGGAGACGAAAAACATCGATGAACCGCCACCGTGGTCACTAAAGCAGCTTCGTTTTCCTTGCACCACCTGGGTTGATTCACTTCCAGTTGCAGCTCCACAGGGTGAAGCTGGTCCTGAGGAAGTGGTCAGAGGGCGGCAGACAACGCTTCCTTTCACACAAAGCCTCGGGGCAGAAGCAAAGCCTTCTAACACATCCTTACAAACTCTATCCTACCCCACAGCCCCTCTCTCCAGTTTACAAACACACCTTTTCTGTGTTATCCATTTTTTTCACCTCCTCCTATAGGGTTTTCCTTCCAGGTGGGAGATCCCTATGTTCACAGTCATGGGAGCTGGAATACCTCTTAGCACTCAGCTCTCTGCTCGTGTGTTCACTCTGCATCCACCGTGTGCCCTCGGCATGGACCCTGCCCTTGGGCTTCACACAGTGTGACCGTCCTCATTGTCTGTCCAGCTGGAAATCTGAGAAAGACCTTCCCAAACCGCATCTCTTGGCTGGCAGCATATCATTTCCAAAAATAAAATCTCACAGAGAAATTAAGTATTAAAAATGTTACAGTTAGAGGTTTCTTGTGCATGGATGTCTCCATGTGTTCTCGACACTTCAGGCATGCCGGGGGCATCTGCTTGTGGTTGGTGGGCGGGTCTGTGCACAAAGTCAGTGGACACCTGACAGCTGATTGTGTCCCAAGAAACTAAGTCCAATCCATGCTGAAGATAACCATGTCCCATGTAACATTTCTTGTCCTGAAAGAAAGGTTGAATGTTATTGTCATTCTCACACTCCTCTGGAATCAGACAGAAAGATTCTTAGTTTTATTTTAATCCTAAATTCTGCCACCTAACACTTGGGGGAGGTACAACCCACTTTATTAAGGATTTGAAGTATCAGCTAAAAATCAGCTGCTACAAAGGGAATGGACTATACCAAAGAGAAAACAGTTTACTCAAAAATCTAAGACTAAAGACGAGAAAACTGAAAACCAAGGAAAAAAGTGAGTTAGTCAGACTCCTTCAGGAACCAGGGCCAAAACCTGCATTCTCCCAACATCAGTCAAGGTCAAGTGTGTCCCACAGCAGGCTGAGAACACCCTGACCTCTCTGGTGATGTAGCTCAAACCATGTGACATTTTAGTTCAACTGAGACCAATCTACGATGTTCTTGTGTCCCCAGGATAACTGGTTTTAGTAACTTTACTTTTGTCCCCATCTAGGAGTAGAGATTGTGTTTCTTAATTATTTTGCTGGACTGGAAGAAGTGAAATAGTATTTGCCCTCTTGATGCTTGCCCTCCACAGGAAAATATCCAACTCTTTAAAAAGACAAAACAAAACAAAAACCCTCACACCCAGCTCATATCATGGAACTGGGAAGGGAGTGGAAATGGGGAGGCTCCATTTAGGAGTCCAGCCCTTAAGGCTCAGACAGGGAGAAATGAGGGTTTCTATAGGAACACTTACATGTAGGAAGGATGCAAAAAATCCTTATAGAGTGACTGTACTTGTCCAGTGAAATGTAAACTTGCCTTCCCACCATTGCCCCATAGTTGGTAACCACAATCCAAATTTCTTTGAGGGACCACCTGCCCACTCTCTCTGTCCATGTGGTTCAATTGCAGCTGATCCCACTTAGATGCCCTTCTGATCAGTCTTTAAAACCATGAGTCCCACTGGCCCCAGTGATTGGAGCTGAGAGATGGGCAAAGACAGATTCTTAGTGATATCATTTAAGTATCTGAATCCAGGAGGGCCTTAATCTTGGAGTCCTACTCCTAAGTTTTACAAGTTATGGAAGTCATAACATTTCTTTCCCTCCCCTCCCCTCCCCTCCCCTCCCCTCCCCTCTCTCTCTCTCTCTCTCCCTTTCTTTCTCTCTCTCTCTCTCTCTTTCCTCCCTTCCTTCCTTCCTCTCTCTCTCTTTCTTTCTTTCATTCTTTCTTCTTTCTTACAAGTGTTAAGCCCATTTGAGTTGAGTTTCTGTCATTTGCAACCAAAAGAGACCTATCTAATGAACCCACAGCAAGGACACTGAGTGGGTGCTCAAAGAGAATAAGAGCTTCAATGAAAGTGTGGTGACAACATTTTGGGCACCTGGCCTCAATCCTCCTAGCTCCTGAGAGAAGGAAAGTTCGGTCCAATCCAAATGGGGGTGCGGGCCATAAGGAGGTGCCCTGGTGCCACAGCAAAGCTCACCAGGACATCAGAGTTCATCCTGAGCTGACATCTAGTCCTCCACCCACCTAACCTTCCAGTGAGATTCAGTGTAAGAATATGAAACTGCTTTTGATGAGGTTTCACCCACTCTGACTCCCACAGTGCTTTCCAGGTCCTCAGAATCTAATTTTTCATTTAGAGGCACCCAAAGATGCCCGAATTTGGGTTCATCATCAGCCACATTTTTATCTATTGCTGAAACCCAAGTTTCCCCCATTTATAATAGACATCTGACCCCAAAGTTCTTCTTTCTCTATGACTGCTGTCCCTCCCCATGTTTCCCCGACACAAACTGGGTGGACATTAGCCCTTTAACAAAAGCACGGTATTAGACCCTCATCCCTTACTGCAAATCCTACCTTTTGAGTACATGCTTTGATTTCTTATTGCCTTTCCTGGTACATTTCCTTCCTTCCCAACTGGAGTTGGAAAGAGCGGGTATGTTACAGACTAATGCGCCACCACAGAGCCAGGAGCTAATCAGTCATTCCATCAACCTCTGCTGAGCATCAGGTACCGCACACCACTGCAGATACAGCGGAACCCCCAATATCCCCTGTCCTCAAGGATTCTATCCAGCAGTGGGGAACTTGCTTGTAGCTCTCATGTTGCAAAATGGGCAGCCTAGAGACATCTTTGAAGCCCATGCTGTGCTGTGCTGTGTGCTCTACAGATTGGGCCTCATCTATTCAAAACACATTCACAAGATGTGGCAAATTCCCTTCCCAGAATGTGATCAATGCAGGTCACCGGTCACCGGGAGTGGGCAAGGGGAAGGTGGAGGGTAAGTTCTACCCTTGACCCTTGAGGCCTGGCACCAAGCTCTGCGCTGCCTTCATCAGATGTCAGACCTCAGAGCAGGTGGTCTAGTCAGAACGATGGCACTGAAGCAGACATGAGTCATCATGTGACCCATAACTGCTTTGCAAGACTAAGGGGTCAAGCACTCCAGTTACCTCCAATTAGCCCTGGGGTGAGAAGGAAAGAAGTCCTATTTGAATAGGGTTGAGGGAATGGACAGAGAAGGGCTTGAAAAATTTAGCTCTTCTTGTTTACTTAAACTTTATGCTTAAAAACAAAAAAGCAAACAAAAACTTTGGGCACATTCCATGGAAAGATCATTTGAATGACGCTAGCAAGCAATGGGCAAGAAGTTGTCATCAGGTGTGTGACTGCATCTCCACTGCTCAGTGTGCTCAGAGCACCCCCCGCACACACACACACACACACACACACACACACACACACACCACCCCGTTCCCTGGGGAATTGTCCTTGAGCCCAAGCCCCACTGTCCTCCTCCTCCAGGCAACCTCCAGGGCTGCTCCCAGAACACACTTCCCAGCAACCGCCTGCTGCCCGGGGCCTTCCTCTCCCCATGTGGCTGCAAGCCTGGTAGCTTTCTTTTGGGGGGGCTCTGACACAGCCTAAAAAGTCAGGGTTTCCAGAGTTGAGACACATCAGAGGCTGCTGTGCCCACACGGCCCTGTGCGGGCTGGGCTGAGAGCCCGCGGGTTCCGAGTGCAGTGGAACATGTGTGCTTCCCACTGCCCCACCCCGCCAGCAACAACCCTCACCTTGTTCCACGGGGCGGCCGCAGGGGCGTAGAGGGAGCCCCAGCCCTGGGTCTTCTGGAAAACCGAACCGGCCTCCAGGCCATTGGTGTCCTCAGAATCTTAGACAATGGAGGCGAAACACCCCTGGAAAGGCAGGCATCAGGAGCCAGACGGAAGTGGTACAAACAGAAAGTCAGAGATGCTGGTCTGTGATGGGGCTGTGCCGGGAGCAGCTTCTGCTGTTTGATGCTTGTCAGTATTGAGTGTGCATCCTGTTTGCCTAAGTTGCCTAGGGCAAGTGCACGTGGTTAAGTCTGTACACACAGGGGATCTATTCTTCATCTTGTGTGCGCGAATGTGCTCGTGAATACACAAAAGTACACATATGAATATGCAGGTAGAAAGTAGATCAGCATCTTCTCCGGACCAGGTAGAGTAAGCTTTGAAGTTAGCTTTGGTCCTTGACTCCCTGATCATCTAAGACAATAATTCACACTCATTAAGAACCTGCCTCTAAACCGAAGGACATCAACAATGTGCTTTCCCTTCTTCATTTTCCAAGTCAGTAGAGCACAGTTTTGTACTTCGACAGCAGAGGAAAGCACTTTTCTTACTGGAAAGGGAAAGAAGAAAACAAGTCAGGATAATCGCCTCCCACCCAGCAGCTTTCTCTGGAAAGATCTTCACAAAGAGGATGTTCCACTGAGCAACAAAGATTTATAGAAAAGGTAAGGAAATACAGACTTACTTTCTGGTGGGAGATACTGAAAAGTAAATACCAACTTAAACAGTTATAACCTCACGGTAAGAGCAGCACAAGCAAGCCAGGAGGAGGGTCACCAGTCTTATGGGACAGAGAAAATATTGCAAGGTTGTGATCTCCAGCTAGGTCTCCAGTAGCAGGTAGGAAGCAGCTAGGCCACAAGGGAGGGAAAGTCGTTCAAAGTAGACAGAAGAGCATGACAGGAAAGCAAAGGCATGTCCCATCACCGACCATGCTGGGGCTCCCCCTGCTTTGTTTTTCTCTATGACACTCAGTGCCATCTGACATTTTATGCCTTTATATGTGTATTGGCTATCTGTGCCAACTAGAATACAAGCCCCCTGAGGGCAGGGGCTTTGTTTGGTTCTCTGCTGTAACCCCAAGCATCTAGAACTTACTGAGCATATAGTAGGAGTTGATAGATGTTGCTGAATGCGTGGATGCTGGAGAGGAGTGAGAAATGAAGCTGGGAAGTTCATGTAAGGTGGCCCCCACCATCACTGGGGCATTGTGTGTTATGCTTGCAAGTGTGAACATAACCTTGGAGATCCAGCACAGGATTTACAAGTTGGCAGCACACAGACCAAACACATGAGTGTTTTGCTTGACTGTATGCTGTGGTTTGAAAATTAGGATATTTTGGGGCACCTGGGTGGCTTCAGCTCAGGTCACCATGTCACTGTTCATGAGTTCAAGCCCCACATCAGGTTCTCTGCTGGCAGTGCAGAGCCTTCTTTGGATCCTCTGTCCCTGTCTGTCTGTCTGTCTCTCTCTCTCTGCTCCTCCCCCACTTACACATGCACTCTCCCTCTTTCTCTCTCAAAAACAACAAAAAAGGGGGCGCCTGGGTGGCTTAGTCGGTTAAGCGTCCGACTTTCGCTTAGGTCATGATCTCGCGGTTCGTGGGTTCGAGCCCCGCTTCGGGCTCTGTGCTGACTGCCAGCTCAGAGCCTGGAGCCTGTTTCAGTCTGTGACTCCCTCTCTCTCTGACCCTCCCCTGCTCATGCTGTCTCTCTCTCTCTCTCTTAGAAATAAATAAAACATTTAAAAACAACAACAACAACAAAAAAGTTAGGATCTTTTATAGATATATCTGGCCTCCTTTAAAATGCAGAAATTTGGAAACAAAGTACTGTTGAAGGACACATCCAAATATGATAAAACTCAAAGAAAAACCAAAAAATAAAATAAAATAAAATAAAATGCAGAAATTTGGGATCTGAAGTCTTGCAAGACAAAGTTGCTAGTGCTGACAGCAGGTGGTCCTTTAACGTGACCTGTGCTGTCCAGTTCACCCCATCTTCTCCACTGACACCTGTCTTGCATCAGGGCTTCCTTCCTCATATGTCACCTGCCTGCTCCATTTAGATAAATGGGTTTGTAACTGATGTGGGAAACAAAGGCAAAAGGAAAAAAACCTAAATGTCCCTGTTACACACAGCCCATTGACAAGTCCTTGAAATTGGCAGAGTGATCTTCCTCTGAGAGCTCAGCTTCCTCGAGGTTGACACTTTGCAGGGCAAAAGGCCACCTTAGTTTAATATTATCCTGATCCCCCAGGATCCTGTGAGTCTACTCTAAAGATATAGAAATTCCTTTGGAAACTTCCCTTATCGTTAGGTCCCAAGATGTATGTTAGCAATCATCCTCCAAGCATATGGCCTGCTGATACACATCTGAAGTGTCTCATGAACTGTAATAAATGACATTTTCCTAACAATAGCTAGTCCCCCGCAGGGTCCTAGAAACCTTGCTTCCAAATCCCTTGGAGGCTTGTGCTGTCCCTGACCCCCTCCCAACTTGAAAGTATATACAATAAAATATTGGATTGTGAGTAACTTGTTCTGCAAGTGTTCTGCAAGATGACGAAACATTTCTAATACATTTTCACTTGACAAACGAGTGATGTCTTGCAATATGAGTGGAACATGACACTGAATGTCACGTGATCACAATCAAGCCAATGGTTCTTGAAATTCACTTTGATATATGAATGTTTTGAGTAACAAGCATGTTTCCGGAATGAATTATGCTCACAAACCAAGGTTTTACGGTAATCACTTACTCCTCACAGTCCCAGTGCAGCTCTTTCTGCCCATGGATCCCATCCCTGTGCTTTCATCAAACCACCTTTTTGCACCAAGGATGTCTCAAGAATTCTTTCTTGGCTGTTGGCTCTGAATCCCAACATTTCCACATCATAACTATGAGCTTAGGTTCAGAATGTCTGGTTTAAAAATCCCTTTATGATAGGAGAACCTGGGTGGCTCAGTCGGTTAAGTGTCTGACTTTTGATTTTGGCTCAGGTAGTGATCTCACAGTTCTGTGAGTTCGAACCTTGCATAGAGCCCTTTGCTGACAGTGTGGACCCTGCTTGAGATTCTGTCTCCCACTCTCTCTCTCTGCCCCTCCTCTGCTCTCTCTCTTGGTCTTTCTCAAAAATAAATAAACATTAAAAAAAATCCCACCATGATAGTGAGTCTCCAAAATAATTCCCCAATGAGACACATTTTCCATTAATTATGCTCTCCACAGTGAATCTGAGCTGGTCCTGTGTAGCTAACAGACTGTGAGGGAAGTGACACTGTGTGAACTCCAAGGCCAGTTCATAAGAAGCCAGTCACCACATGAGAGGTCTGACTACCCCAAGGCTGCCATGCTGGAAGGAACCCTAAACTAACAATGTGGAGAGACTGTATAGACAGAGAGAAGGCTGGCAGCTCCCAAGTGTTCCAGCCTTCCCTTCTGAGATGCCAGACATATAAAGGCCTTCTGGGACACCCAGGTCAGCTGCCACCTACCTACCTACAACCATATACAGTCCTATGAGAGACTCCAAGAAAGAGAGCCATCTAGCTGAGCCCATTTGACTGACAAACAATAACAAATTATATTTAGCCACCATGTTTGGGGTGGTTTGTCACACAGCAATAGAGAACTAGACACCCACATTACCACTGATTAAGAATGTGGCTTTGGGCACATTATTTAAGCATCATTAAGCCTCAATTTTTTTCACCTTTAAAATAATGGTGATAATACTACTGACTTCAGAGTTGTTTGAAACTCAAACTCAATTGTGAATGGAATGTACTTAGCCTTGAGGCTAGTGTGTCATGAGTGCTTAATAAATGTTAACCATTATTTTGCTTTAGTTCTCATTAGTATTGTTGATGTCTCTATGGTGGGTAGTTCTCTCTCGAAACCGGGATGCCAAAAAGGGAGAAGAGGCAGGGAAGGTACTGATGGACATATGAGGGTGAGGGGGGTATAAATGTGGAAGACAGGGCGGTGTGCATATTTTGATATCCCAAACTCCGAAACACCAGGAAGTTGGCTATTTCTTTCATTTTGGTTTCTGTACTAAGGAGTCTGGTGACTCCTGTCAAATCACAATTCATTAATCCAAACTCATTCAAAAATATTTATTGAGCACTGACTATGCCAGGCACTGTTGTAAGTAATCTGGGGATACAGCAGTGAACAAAACAGATAATAATGACCTATCCTCATGGAACTTCCATTCTAGTGTCGAGGAACAATACCAAACAAATAAGTAAGTCAAACATATAGTATGGCAGATGGTAATAAGTACAATGGAAAAAAACTAAGAGTGGTAATGAATGTGACATGGGAGAAACTGGGCTGTAATTGTAAGTAAGTAGGTCAAAAGAAGGCCTCCCTGAACATGGTGGAAAGTGAGCGAGGTACTCTGGGGTGGGGAGGGACCATCATGTAGAAGGATCCAAATGCAAAATAAAGCTGGAAGCTCATATTGTTATATCCCACTGGCAGATGTATATGTTTTCTCCCAATGATTCTGTAAGGCAAATGTTATTATATATTATCTTTAACTTACTCAGGCACTTTTTAAAATCTTTTTGTGCAATATATCTCTTTCAACTATAACTTCTTTTTGGAACAAAGGAAGATGATGTATTAGTCAGGTTAACTTAGATTAAGTAACAAACAATCCCCAAATCACATTTGTTTAACACAATAATAATGTATTTCTTATTCACAACAGTCTAGTGGCTGGACTCCATAGGTCCTTCATTCAGGGATTCTGCCAGCTGAGGGACACCATCCACATGGCCAGTCATAGCAGCAGGGAGGAGGAAAGATAGAAAATCAACACCCCCTCTTAAATGCTGGAAGACACAAGCCACTACTTCTCTCCTATTTCATTGACCAGAGCAGGCTATGTGTAGCTCTGTGGTAGGGGAGTGAGGAGGGGTGCGTGATCATCCTAAATGCCTAGAAGTGAAAGGAAATAGATATTAATGAATAATGTCTACTGTGGATGGACACATGGATAGATAGAAATAATAGATGACAGTAATGATAAATAACAGAGAGAGAAAGAGAGAAAGTAGATAAAAGAAAACGAAACTGAAGCTTAGAAATGACAAGTAATTTGCCTACTGTCAAGCAGTTTGTAAACAGCCAAGTCAAGATCAGAACCCAGATTC